ATATCAAAGAACCCCAATAATTCAATTTTTGATGAAATCAAACAAAGTTTAATTTTGGACCCTTTGGACCTCAATGTGGACCAATTTAAAAATGGGGCCCAAAATCCAAAAACTTAATACACGGTTAGATTCAGCATATTAAAGAACCCCAAGAATTCAAGAATAAAACCCCATTGAAATTGGTCAAGAAATAAGCAATTTATACGAAGTATCTTCTTTTGCACAATACTGTGCAATTGAATATTTCTTGCTATTGCGCAATATTGTGCTATTGGATATTTCTTGCTATTGCGCAATACTGTGCAATTGAAGATTTCTTGCTATTGCGCAATACTGTGCAATTGAAGATTTCTTGCTATTGTGCAATACTGTGCAATTGAAAATTTCTTGCTATTGCACAATACTTATTATATAATAATTTACACAGTTGGCGTCGTCGTCGTCGTCCGGCGTCGTCCGAAGACACATTGGTTTTCGCACTCTAACTTTAGTTTAAGTGAATGGATCTCTATGAAATTTTACCATAAGGTTCAATACCACAAAAGGAAGGTTGGGATTGATTTTGGGGGTTATTGTACCAACAGTTCAGGAATTAGGGGCCAAAAAGGGGCCAAAAATAAGCATTTTTGTAACTTCCAGACATAACTTGTGTGTTAGTGTATGGATCTCTCTGACATTGTACCACAAGGTTCCATATCACAAAGGGAATGCTGGGATTAATTTTGGGGGTAATTGCCTCAAAATATTAGGAATTAGGGGCCAAAAAAGGGGCAAAAAACAAGCATTTTTCTAGTTTCCAGACAATAACTTGTGTTCAAGTGTATGGATCTCTCTGAAATTGTACTGCAAGGTACCATACCACAAAGGGAAGGCTGGGATTGAGTTTGGGGGTGATGAATCATAAGGGGGTTCAAAAAATTTGGGGGGGGATTTTTTTTTTTTCCCTTTTTTTCTTTTTTTCCTTTTTTTTTTCTTTTAAAATTTTCCATTTTAAGTTGGTTATTTCTGATTTATATTTAAAAGCAAATAATAATGATATGGTAAGAGATACACATCAGTTTTTTTTTGTGCAAAATAAAGGGGGGGGGGGTCAATACGCAACAGCATGGTGTATTGCACAAAAGCAAATATAAATTCAAATAATATAACCAATTCTAAGTTCTTTGACTACATTTATTCTGTGTCAGAAACCTATAATGTGTCAAATATTTAAATACAATCCAAATTCAGACCTGTATGAGTATCAAACGCGAATATTTTGTCCATTTTTGCCCCAACTGTTCAGGGTTGGACCTCTGCGGTCGTATCCAGCTGCGCTCAGCGAAACATTTTATTAATGCTTATATCAAACATTTAGAAAAACTTCATGCTAAGACAGTTGGGAGCAATATGGTTTTGAAACTTCAACTTTACCTCTATAAGAGTAGCGAACTGCTCCAAGTTTCTATGTCTATAAAACTGAGAATGGAAATTGGGAATATGTCAAAGAGACAACCCGATCAAAGAGCAGACAACAGCCGAAGGCCACCAATGGGTCTTCAATGCAGCCAGAAAATCCCGCACCCGGAGGTGGTCCTCAGCTGGCCCCTAAATAAAATTGTGTACTAGTTCAGTGAAAATTGACGTCACACTAAACTACAAAACATATAAATGAACTGAAATTAAAAAAACATATAAGACTAACAAAGGCCAGAGGCTCCTGAATTGGGACAGACGCAAAAATGCGGTGGGGTTAAACATGTTTTGTGAGATCTCAACCCTCCCCCTATACCTCTAGCCAATGTAACTATATCTATATATCATGGTGACCTGTGATATCAGTTGTCCAACACAATTGTTCAATTACTGTAAATTCAGAAATTATTGTGAGGTTTTTATTACTGCGAATAATGCGACTACTTGAGTACTGCAATTATAAGAACTCGCATTCTGATATCAAATACATATATCTGTATGAAGTTTTTCCTAAAATCGCAATAATTAAACTCGCATTTTAGTTAATTCTTCAAAAATTCAAAAATCGCAATAATAAATGCACGCAATAATTTCTGAATTTACAGTAATCTTGTGTCAATTGTGTATACAGGCTCATAAAAGAAACAAAATTACCAGACTTGACTCAATGCATGTGTCTTTAGACTACTGGTAACTTCAATTTTTTTCTTAACCAGATGAGGATAGTTAAAACTTGCATTTCTAGTTTATTGTAAAGCAGATGTGTTTGCTACCAAGCTAGTCATCATGACCCATATGTCATGTTTGATAAGACACTGATATATCTGAAACTGTTGTTAAAGTGTATGGTCTTGAGATAAAAGATCATCTGGCACTTACTTGCATGGAGATGAGGAATAACTCAGTTTGTCAGAATTAACACAAAGTTGAAAAAAACACATTGTGATATTTGTTTTGTGAATATATAACTTTATTAAGGTAATATCTCAATGTGAATTAACTTTTTTCATGCAATTCTGTAACAATTGGAGTTGTATAAAAACATTTGCATACATTTTTGATTAACCAATGTTAATGACAGAAACAGAATACAGGACTACTTTGGCTGTCTTGTCTGACCTTCAAATCTTTCATGGCAGCAAAGCAAATAAAATGCTCCGCAGGGCGCAGCTTGATACGACCGCAGAGGTCGAACCCTGAACAGTTGGGGGAAGTATGGACACAACATTCAAGCTTGATACAGCTTTGGATTTGGATTGTGATTAAATATTTGACACAGCATAGGTTTCTAACACAGATTGAATGTGGTCTAAGAACTTAAAAATTTTAAATTGGACATTCACCTATTATGGTCCAATATCCAAAATCTAAATACATGGTTAGATTCAGCATATCAAAGAACCCCAAGAATTCAATTTTTGATGAAATCAAACAAAGTTTAATTTTGGACCCTTTTGACCTCAATGTGGACAAAGTTGATAACGGGGCCCAAAAATCAAAAATCTAAATACATGGTTAGATTCAGCATATCAAAGAACCCCCTATATTCAATTTTTGTTGAAATCAAACAAAGTTTAATTTTGGACCCCGATTTGGACCAACTTGAAAACTGGGCCCATAATCAAAAATCTAAATACATGTTTAGATTCAGCATATCAAAGAACCCTAAGAATTCAATTTTTGTTAAAATCAAACTAAGTTTTATTTTGGACCCTTTGGACCTTAATGTAGACCAATTTGAAAACGGAACCAAAAATTAAGAATCTAAATACACGGTTAGATTCGGCATATCAAAGAACCCCAATAATTCAATTTTTGATGAAATCAAACAAAGTTTAATTTTGGACCCTTTTGACCTCAATGTGGACAAAGTTGATAACGGGGCCCAAAAATCAAAAATCTAAATACATGGTTAGATTCAGCATATCAAAGAACCCCATATATTCAATTTTTGTTGAAATCAAACAAAGTTTAATTTTGGACCCCGATTTGGACCAACTTGAAAACTGGGCCCATAATCAAAAATCTAAATACATGTTTAGATTCAGCATATCAAAGAACCCTAAGAATTCAATTTTTGTTAAAATCAAACTAAGTTTAATTTTGGACCCTTTGGACCTTAATGTAGACCAATTTGAAAACGGAACCAAAATTTAAGAATCTAAATACACAGTTAGATTCGGCATATCAAAGAACCCCAATAATTCAATTTTTGATGAAATCAAACAAAGTTTAATTTTGGACCCTTTGGACCTCAATGTGGACCAATTTAAAAACGGGGCCCAAAATCAAAAACTTAATACACGGTTAGATTCAGCATATTAAAGAACCCCATGAAATCAAGAATAAAACCCCATTGAAATTGGTCAAGAAATAAGCAATTTATAGGAAGTATCTTCTTTTGCACAATCCTGTGCTATTAAATATTTCTTGCTATTGCGCAATACTGTACAATTGACAATTTCTTGCTATTGCGCAATATTGTGCTATTGGATATTTCTTGCTATTGCGCAATACTGTGCAATTGAAGATTTCTTGCTATTGCGCAATACTGTGCAATTGAAGATTTCTTGCTATTGTGCAATACTGTGCAATTGAAAATTTCTTGCTATTGCACAATACTTATTATATAATAATTTACACATCCTGTTTGGTGTGTATCTCCTACCATATCATTATTATTTGATTTTAAATATAAATCAGAAATAACCAACTTAAAATGGAAAATTTTAAAAGAAACAAAAAAGGAAAAAAAAATAAATCCCCCCCCAAAATTTTTTGAACCCCCATTATGATTCATCACCCCCAAACTCAATCCCAGCCTTCCCTTTGTGGTATGGTACCTTGCAGTACAATTTCAGAGAGATCCATACACTTGAACACAAGTTATTGTCTGGAAACTAGAAAAAAATGTGTTTTTTGGCCCCTTTTTGGCCCCAAATTCCTAAACGTTTAGGGCAATTACCCCCAAACTCAAACCCAGCTTTCCCTTTGTGATATGGAACCTTGTAGTACAATTTCAGAAAGATCCATACACTTACACACAAGTTATTGTCATGAAACTAGAAAAATGCTTGTTTTTTGCCCCTTTTTTGGCCCCTAATTCCTAAAATTTGGAGGCAATTACCCCCAAAATCAATCCCAGCATTCCTTTTGTGATATGGAACCTTGTGGTACAATGTCAGAGAGATCCATACACTAACACACAAGTTATGTCTGGAAGTTACAAAAATGCTTATTTTTGGCCCCTTTTTGGCCCCTAATTCCTTTACTGTTATTACCATAACCCCCAAAATCAATCCCAACCTTCCTTTTGTGGTATTGAACCTTGTGGTAAAATTTCATAAAGATCCATTCACTTAAACTAAAGTTAGAGTGCGAAAACCAATGTGTCTTCGGACGACGACGACGCCAACGTCATACCAATATACGACCACAAAAATTTTTTTGCGGTCGTATAAAAATGACTACTACCCAATTAAAACTGCATCATGTTACAGAGGCCAACACAGGAAAAGCCTATTGATACTAAAACAAAAAACAAATAGTTTCAAACTTTAATATATATAATACACAACTGCACTTCACATGGCACTTTGATTGTATATTTGTGTGTTAGTCGTGGTAAGTATATATATGAATAACAATAACAGTTAAAATCCAGCATATACAAAAAGCTACTATAAATATTCAAATCTTTAAACACTTTGTTGAGAATTGAACAATTTGTAAAAATGGAAGATGATGGTAAATGTATTGATTGACAAAAAAAGCAAATAGTAGTTATAAAAAATGGCTATATAGATCTAATAGCCATTACAGAAATAAGTTTACTTCAGATTTACAAAATGCCTGATAACATGCCCATTATCAACTCAGTGGTGGTGTAGTAGCATGCTTGCCTTGAGTGTGGGAGGTCGTGGGTTGGATCCCTAAAGGGGGGGGGGGGGGCACAAAAGACTTGAAAATTGGTATTTGCTGCATTCCACTGCATTGATTAGACACTGATGTAACTGAAACTGAAAAAGATCATCATTCTAGTACTGTCATGTAAGAGCAACTAAAAAAAGTAAATCAAGCTTACAATCGGGGAATTTGGTGAATTTGGAAAACATTAACTCTTTTCTGAAGATGAAAATAGTCTATTTGAGTTGTTTAAAAACTTTTGCATACATTTTTCACATAAAAAAACACAGCATTTAGGAGTAAGAGCAAAGACTGTTCAGCTAAGAGTCAGAATAATATGTTTGGGTAGGGTGAAATGTCTTCCTGCAGACTGCTACCTTGTGAACAAGCATACAGATTCAGCTTAGCTTGTAAGTTTAGTACAAAGCAGCATCCATATTCATATCACATTAACATGTTCTCATCCTCATATGCATTTAATAATTGAAACTTTAAATTAAGGATGTTTGCTACTCAGTTTCAAAATAACAAGCTATTCATCACACTGGTAAATATTGATAGGTTACTAATAAAGGAACTATAAGAGTGCAAAAAAATTATAGGTCCATGCGCTTGTTTTTGAGATATAAGCTATTGTAAATTTTATGGGAAAAATTTCTCTCTTGATTTTTCATAGCTTTATCATTGACAAGTTTTATTTTGCAAACAAAAGGCTTCTTATCCTGTATGTAAAAGATTTATGAAAAGAAAAATGAGTGTTAGTGGCAAAATTTTTTTATGGTATTTAAATGGATAAAACTAGAGGAATCCAAAAATCTGACAAAAATTCAAAAACATGACTAGCGAACATCCTTAAACACCAATTCATCATCATCATCATTATGAAAACATTTTCGTTTTGCAAATAAAAGATAGTTAAACTAGTGAGTCTTGAAAAGTACTTTTACATACTGAATTTACCGGTAAACTGATATTTTCATAATAAAAAAAAATAATGTCAAAACCATTTTTTACATTGAAAATTGGTCAAATTAAAGTTAAAATTGCCTTCAATTTTACACATGTTCATTAACCATTGTGAAGAAAGATGATAAAAACGTCAGAATAAAGCTAAAAAGTGAAATAACATCTAAATGTTTTTGGTACTAAGTCAGGTAGAAATGGCATAAATATCAATATGAGAAAGAGTCAAAAGTATTTACATTCAGTGAGCAGAATGGAAACTGATATTTTTTAAGTAATTAACAATAGCATTCACAAATAAACTTATCATATCATGGTTACAAAATCATAACATAACAAAAGATATTCACTGGTTTCAAGTAATGTTAACTGTACAAAATGACAAGCAAAAATTTGTCAAATAAAGCCATTTAATTAAAGAAGTAAAAGAGTAACAAAAAAGAAAGCATATTAAATAGTTTTACAAAAAAAACATACAAAACGTATAAAAAAATCACATATATATGGTATATCACAGTTGACTGATCTGTTTTTGTACCAAAATGTATGTCCAAATCTGAAAATAACAGATGTACATATCAAGGGAAGGTATGTTTGGGGGACTGATCGGTCATATTCAGGCTCTTAAATAAAACAACCATTCATTTTTCTCAGTTTGCAAGAGTTAAGAAATTATCAATGTTGTCAGTTGTCTGTCTCTTTTTTCATGATGGTTAGAGAAAGAAGCACACAAGAAATATAAATATGGAAAACTTCAACACAAGGTTAAATCAGTCAAATCTGTATATAAAGGTCACCCTTGGGACCAGAGAATACTGACCTTACAAGAGAAGTGACCTTTGAACTGGGTTACAAATGCCCATAGGCATTACTACCTTGGGACACTTAGAAAGACAGATTTCCGCTTATAGCAGGTTTGACTGTATATGAAAATATACAAAATCCTTTTTGACACCATAGCTTTCATGCATCTAGGAAAGAAAAAAAATCAAGATAACTAACTCTAGTAAAGAAATTTACTTTCAAGAGTGTCCTCACAATTTTTCCTTTTTTTTTAGTTGTCCGGTAATTTATTTTATTTGGATATTTTTTTTTATCCTTATCTAATGATTAATTAACCTCATTGGTTGATATCTTTGGAGGAAGTACATGTGATACATCCTCATTCTTTCAATATCCAAGCCGTGTTGTCGGCAAAGTAATTATATTCTTTAACTTTTACTTACATTTGCCTTGGTGGCTTTAAGACCTTGGTGGTCATTTATATATGCCTTGGTGGCAATAAACCTAGGTGGTCATTTATATTTGCCTTGGTGGCAATAGACATAGGTGGTCATTTTTATAATTTTTTACATTTGCCTTGGTGGCAACATTAAATAGAAAATACTAGCCTTGATGGCTTTAAGACCTTGGTGGTCATTTATATTCGCCTTGGTGGCTTCTTAATAGACCTAGGTGGTCATTTTTAACCTTGGTGGTGAAATGTTTTGGGATTTAGACCTTGCCATGGGTAGTTATTATTAACCCAGGTGGTCAGATATTTGGTATGCCGTGCGTCGGTTAAACGCCGGTCGAAGAGCTATCGCGTTAAAATATTTTATGTATAATTGGACTTTGACTTTGTTAAAATATTTTATGTATAATAAGACTTTGTTAGAAAAGAATAGTAAGATTGAGAAAGTGAAAGCATTTAGTGTGAAATTACATGTCACTTGGTATTAGTTTTGTTGGCTGGAGTGATGTGTATTGAATTATAAGGTGTCTTCATCGAGGTCTGCGTTCAGCGGTCTGTTTGAATGTACATAGAATATGAATAGAATGTTTATGTTTTCAGATCATGGGTGTTACTGACAAGCTGATGTATGAAGGAGAAGCAATATGACATTGCACGATAATTCATGTCAATGAGTTCGATCAACCTTAAAGGACAGGATTTTTCTGATCAGAATCTGGTGAGTACAAATTCCATGTTTAAGTAATGATTTGATTTCAGAAAATATAATAATAAAAAAAAGAAATGGTGTAAATATAGACATAACACTAAATTATGTTTTTCTGTATTGAAGAGAAAGGCAGAAGATGCCAGTATGGCACGGTACTTGAATTAAAAAAAAAAAAAAAAAACTGTGATGGAACAGCTTTATGTTTAACTGAACATATTTAAAAGTAATTCTAAAAATTTGTCCCTAATTTTGAGATGTTTATTATAAGATTTGTATATAATTTCATTGATGTGTTGAAAGATGTCACAAAAATCTGTTTGACTTGGAAGATTAATTGTTGCAATATTTTTGTTTTGTTTTATTTACTAAATATAATGTTGTATCATTTTGTATACTAATGTATACTAAAATTTTATGTATGGTGAATTTTTTTAATTTAAATTTCTTTGTCTACAGTTCGAGGGACACTGATTCCCTAGTGGTTTTCCACATGGATTGTAGGCAAAGGGATTTTTCCTTTTCGAAGTGTGACTAATGCTGTACAAGTACAAATAAACAAATTGTTATTGGTTAATATATTTTCAGCAGAGTTGAGAAGAATCAAGTGGAAATACAATTGTCAATGTTCCTGATTGGGAAGTAAAGAGTGAGTTTGATCCAACAACAGTAAAGTAAGCGACAAGCCAGCATAGTAGACACTTGGAGGTGAAGTCCCTTTGCTTACAACAAGCTTTCATCATGCTGAAGATGTGATTCAAATAATGTTCATTTTGATATGAGTTCATTGCATTAACGGGACTTTATAAGTTTGTATGTGGTGGAATTCATGAGAACTTATTGAATTGTGAAACTATTTATAAAGAACTGTGTACACGTATCTTGAAATTGTTAGTACAAATGTAGCATTGTAAAGAAATAAAAGAATAATATTTAATAAAAGTGTTGAAGACATTTTTGTTTTGAGTTTTGGGAATACTATTCCTTAAGAGAAAGCCTTGCTAGTGGTGTTATTTGAGATTGGCATGCAAATATGCTGTATGGACAACAGAGTTTTCTATGCCCATAACTAAACATGAACTGGATGCAAGATTATATCAATCACTGAGGATATGGGTATAACCTCATTGGTTGATATCTTTGGCGATGTACATGTGATACATCCTCATTCTTTCAATATCCAAGTGGTTGGTTTAAGGGCTATATTTGATCAGGCAATACATATTGACTGTTTGGGTTGATGAGGTCCTTGATATGTTCCCCCCTCTCCCACCCATTAGCACCAAAATGTGGATAGGTTTTCATATTTAGATTTTGATATTGGTATTACATGTATGCATTTTGGGTTGATGAGCAATAGACAACATTAGAAAAACACAAGAATTACCATGTGATCAAATGACGGAACACATCTTCACTTTAGCGTCTGATGAGGCGATGTTCACGGGAAAGGTCAATGAGGGCAAGTGGATTTGTCGCTATTTCATTACAATGGTAAAAATAAGATTATAGATGACAATATTGTTGATTATTATGCGTCATTTATCATCTCCAGACTTGTTATGTTGTCAACAACTCAGAGCTATATCCAGTGAGCACTTGTGCATTGCATTGTGCATAGTAGTCCACATTTTGGTTTCTGAAACGTATAGATATTATCTTGTATTCGGTTCTGTCCTCTAGAGTTTTCTATGCCCATAACTAAACATGAACTGGATGCAAGATTATATCAATCACTGAGGATATGGGTACTTCCTACAGCAAAACATCCAAAGGCATTCATGGTTATAATAACTCTAACCAAAATAAACCAGGGCATTCTATAGAGACAAAAGTTTTTATTCATGGGACTAATGAGTGAAAATAAATACAAAGTATGATTGTGGAGAACAACAATAGGATATAATGGTTTAGTTTTTACAGATAACTAAGTTGCTTATATTATTACAAGTACAATTTCTCTTTGACAGAAAGACAATTCTATCAAGTAAACCCTGAACTATTACTGTTACATTACTAAATAAAGTTTTGTGATCTCGCAGACAGTTAATATTACCCAAATCAGCAATTTCTATCATACAAACCCTGATTTATACCCATAAAGTTTCTTACACTGATATATAAAGTTGTTTGGTTTGTATTTACATAAAAATATGTGTAATAAGTTTTTAAAAATCTATTGCATGTAATATTTTCACCATACTCATTTCTGTTTTTCATTTCCTTATTTCAATTTGTTTAAAGTCTCTCAAATGCATTGTTCAACTAAAAGGTTTTATGATATTATAATATAGTTGATTGATTGATTGATTGATTGGTTGGTGTTTAACGCCACTTTCAACATTATTGCGCTATTTCGTGGCGGTCAGTTTTTATTGGTGGAGGAAGCCGGAGAGCTCGGAGAGAACCACCGACCTTCGGTAGGAAAACTGACAATCATAGTCAATTTAAGATTGGAGTCGAGTGCACCTGCCCCGTTTGGGATTCGAACTCACAACCTCAGTGTTGACTGGCTAGTGATACAGTAGTTGGACTACTTAGACCATTCGGCCACCGAGGCCCCTAATATAGTTGATAGCTTAACAATGAACAAAACTATTCCATGAAAAAAGATTATAATAATTACAAAAATAAAGGTAATTGTCGAAGCTCTGCACATAATAAATGAAAAATAGTATAAATAACTGAATGGTATGTAGGAAAATTGCCTATTTTTGTGGTCAATGTTTCTGGTTACCCATAATGCTTATGCTTCTAACAATAAATTAATGATCATAACATGAAAATGTCACATGATAAATATCGTATACATACATCACAGTTTTAACAAGGAACAAAAAATTCAAGACAAGATTATCATATTTGATAAAAGAGTAATAAACATAAATAAAGCTCTACACACAATAAATGATAAATATTATATAAAGCTGAAAGGAATGAAGATGTTAATAAAATAGAAGCTATAGAAGATTACCTGGTATCTGAATAATTACTCAATACATGCATCTATTGTTTCATCAATATGTTCTATTTATAACAATGATAGTCAAAAAGGTCAACCAGTGTTCCCATTAGACAAATTCATAAATCAAGTTTTATAAAAATGATTCTGCAAAGAGTGGTTTAAATTATTCCAATAGTTTTAGAGGACACACTATTTGAATATATTTTTTCTTGAAGCCCAATGCAAACATGGAAAAACCATGTTGGACTTAATGAAATCTACAAAATATTTTTTTTAATCGAATAAATCAATCAGTTTGTTTCTGCTTGAAAAAAATCTTGGTTAAGTAAGATCAGATTTCACAAGTTTGTAAGAGGACACAAAAGAATAACATTATTGTATTCTATAAGGACCAATGAAGAGATGTGTTTAACTTCCATGTTTCATTGTAACCAAATTTATTCTAGTCAGTTTTATGGGATAAATATTTCTAAAAGTAGTCTGTCTGTAGAGATAATTTAAGTCAAGTTTAGTGTTAACACTGAAAAGATTGTTTATATACAAATGGCAATATACTGACCCTTTGATCCAGATAGTATAAATATGATTATCATTTACAAGATTAAAAAATCACGTCAAATTTACCCAAACATCAAATTCATTTTCTATGTAAATATTTCATAATTTGCAAGCTCATATTAATTTTGAATTTTGTGGAGTCAATATCAACCCATATACATTTACCTAGACAATTCTGTCTAACTGATCTAATACGACAACTCAACAAAGCTAGCTTTTAACTAAACCAGTAGCTGTCTGCACAGATTTAAATGATTGTCATTTTCATAAACATTAAAAAATATATGATGAAAATTTATACTACACATTTTTTTTTTAATTTACAGACAAAATAGACCCAATAATGTACCTTCTAATAGTGGATACCAAAATAAGTGCTGGTACTTTTGAAATAGAAAAAATACAGGTTAGCTTAATGACTGAGATATATTCAGATTCAAAGTTCAATTTTGACACGTCAGATATGTCCCAGATCAGCTTAAGTAAAAACTGAGATATTTTTAAATTCAAAGTTTATTTTGAATTTTTAACAATGTAGCTTAGATCTGCATTATGTAATAATCAATTGATGTCAGCACTGAGTCCTCTTTTGCACGAGTCTAATGGACATACACAAAAATTTACCTGTAAGGACTGAAAGGTCATATCATCTTAAATATATATAATTGCAATCAGATCTAATTTCAATTGTATTTAACAATTTCTGTACATTCATATAAAATACAAAAATACAAAAATCAGCAAAAAATACAACATCACATAAATAATAGTAAAAATGGAATGTTTAATTAGGCTGCTTATTTAACAATTCAAAAAAATATGTGACTACATCTAATATTATATGAATTTCAAAAATTGTAGGAGATTCGAAAAATATTGATATTTTCTTAAATGCTTCATATTTCTCTCTAATATACAATCTACAAATCTAAAAGTACCTAACATTAAACATCAAATTTATTTAATTATTGAGGAATTAAATCCATCTTTAATATGCTCTTAAATGTCAATTTCTTTTTTTACACATTTGAGATTTTATCCCCAAAAAATACTCTTTGAAAACCCAGATATACAACTGTGAATTAAACAACAATTAATTACAAATTAAATGCTACATTCATCCAAGGAATGCATTCAATAGTTAAACACCTGATCCCAATAAAAAAAACCAGGATATACTGTAAACCAACTTATTTTCGCGGATACTTTATTTCGCGTTTAGACCTTTCTAACCCATTTTGCAGCGATTTAATTACTCTTTCCTTATATTTACTTGTGTAGATAAATAAGGAAAAATCCAAGTTTTACAAAGTCGCGAAAATTAGTCGGTTTACAGTATGCACATATTTATAACACAAATTCTGATCTATCCAAACTTTGATAGAAAATAAATAAATATATTTTGGCAGAATATCTAAATATTGCATTTGAAATGTCAAATTAGTGTGTTTTTTGAACTTTCAAGATCATCTCTAATATTGACATACTTTTCAGTATGGTATGTATACCTTAAAGCACTAGTAAAGAGAGAGTAAATACATTATCACAACATTCTGTCACCAATGAAAACAATACTACTATTCCTCTTTATGGTAGCATTATGATCTGCTATAATAAAAAAAAATTGGTGGCTTTTACTGGCATTATTTAAATGACACATTCATTTCTTTATGGGGATAAATCTTCCAACATAAAAGACAAAAATTGATCATTGCTATATAAGTGACAAAAAGATACACTCTCCTAAAAGAAGGCATGGAAATCACTGGTGGAAAGTTCTGCAGAAATGTATTGTGTTTTGTCTTTTGTAGTTTGATTAATATAAGCACATATAAATAGATCATGATCTTTGTCCTCTGATTACTGTTCCACCTCTTTGAGGGACAGGTGGGGCAGCATTATGTTTTCCTGCTGTCGACTGGTTTAAATTTATATATGCAGATTCAGGATTCATAACGTTACCTAACTTTTCAACAATTTCATCAAATGATGGCCGATGATGATTGTCCACTTCCCAACAATTAACCATCAAACCATATCTGTAATGGAAGAATTAAAAGTAAACATTATAAAATCAAGTAAAAATCTACATTGATAATATTATGCTATCAGATATATTTTAGAGCAATGTTTCTTAAGTACATGTACCATATTTTTGTAATTGAATATACATAGAAAATAGCTTAAAGGGAAAATTCGCGATTTTTTACTTTTCATCTTATTATGTTCATAATACCATAAAAAACATATTTACCAAGTTTTATCTGGATATGAACACTAATAAAGAAGAAAATTGGGAATTAATAATTTAATTTATTCCAACTTCCTGACTTATGTGACGTAGTTTAAGTCTTTTTGCATGCCAGGAGTGAATAAATCTCGTTGTAAGTCTTGTTTGTTAATCATCTAATAACGCGATTTAAAGCGCATCGACGACTTTTTGCGTAGCTATTAACAAACTAATAATTAAGAAAGTAAAGTGATCCGCCGTGCAACTTTCAAAATTAAAATGTACAATTTATATTTAAAGGATTTCTGATATGATTATAGTAATAAAAGTAAATCATACAATAGAATATATTTTCATGAATTTTTTTTCCGACGGATATTTTGAACAAACATATATAACTGATATTGTTTTACAAATGCATGTTTGTATTCTCACCTGAAGGCTTTTACTTCAGTCTAGTACTGTGTAAATACAATGTGTATTGTACTGTGACACTAAGTGACCACCTGTTGAATGCGTGGTTAAATTCAAGGTAATTAAAAGATTAGCATTCTGTAATTCTATTCTTTTGATCTTCACTCAGTGAATTTTAGCCAACACAGTTCACCGTTACAGGTGTGAACAACATTTCGTATGAATGATAAAAACATTAATTATTTGGGGAGGAATATGGTGGCAAAATACCTGAATCGCCGTTATATACATGTATATCTTTTATATTTTGCGTAAGCTTAATTTTAAAATAGATAGGTGAGTATTTTGTTGTAACATCGAAATTCTGAATTACTTTCAATTAAATAATTTTACAAATAAAAATGGTCCACGAAAACGAGCGTATAAACCAAACACTGTACTTACTTTTTCAAATTATCATGGGTATTAACCTTGAATATTTCAATGTTTAGAGAAAATTATCGCGGTTACATGATTAATATAGGTTGGTCCGTCCACAGCGATCTACATTTACCTAATCGGGAATGCCCTTATTAAAATATTTAAAATCTCACAACGTATACATACTTTAGCTATTTGACCAACGATGTTTAAAAAAAATAACAGAATCAATCTAACGTCAACTTTCCTTTTTTGAATGGAGACAGACCGGAGGAATCAATTTTCAATGTGCTTTATATCTTGTACCTTTGCAAGACTTATCATTCATTCATAAACCCACTTTATACCAGAGACATATATGTCAGTCTTAACTGACAAGAATACACCTAAAGCGGACAAGCAGTATTTTCTTTAAGTTTCTGTGATTTAATACCAAGAAAGAAAAAAATCCCGAAATTAATTTGATACTTTGATACTCAATATTTTTCCTGGAAAATATTCATATCCTTGTTTGGTCTGAAAATAAGATAAGAATTTGGTATACAGAACATGCAGAAGTGTGAATGTCATAAAACCTTGTTATATCAGAAACCATTATAAATGTGAACCTGTATACGTAAGACCTCATGGGACGTCACCTAACCACATACAGGTAATATACAAGTAGCTCTGTTATACCCGGAAATGTCAAGGTAAATCACTACCGATACAGAATGTACCAATGCAAAGAAAATTCTGATGATTGTGAAGCATGACCATTCATGATTTTAGAGGAGTCTTAGGTGGAAATTGCCGGTACGATTTAAATTCTGACTATATTTTTTTCTCTCAATTTAAATCACTGAACTTAAAAAAAAAAGAAACATACGCCCAAGATCAGAATTCTTCATGTAAATTCATAAATACAACGTTCTTATTTTGTAACTTTCGATATACTTCACCCCCCCCCCCCCCCCCCCCCCAACCTGGGAACAGTATATCTAACATAACAATGTTTGTGTACCTGCCCAAATAAAAAAAAAAAAGATGAAAAAAGAAAGAGATGAACGGTAAGTCACATCAGATTCAAATATTTATATGGTTGATTGTCGTTAACTAGAGATGTAAAGTTACATGTCTCTGCGTTAACTTATAAGAATGACAGGAAAGTATATACTTGAAATAGATTTATGATGAATAATATGCAACTGCAGCACCCCTTTTTATCAAAGTGTACATGCATGTATTTTAATGACTGTCCGTTATTTCGATTAAGAATAACAAGTGTACGTGAAATTCTATAGTTGCCTGTGAGACTTTTTTTTACCAGATATGCGACTTTTCGTATTTATATTTTCTCTTATATTACTCTCATTTAATATTTTATGCATAAGTGCAATATTAGGAATGGTTTATCCCCCCTCCCTTTTAAGCTAACTAAATAAATTAATCAACCTTCTAGCTGACCAGACGTTAACACATCTACTATCAGTCAATTCGGAGTGAAGTTTCTTTATTTCTTCAAATAAGCTTTTTGGGGATCATTAGTGTACGTCCAGTGGCATATATATTACATGCATGTCGGAACAGGAAAATTGACATGAGGTATAATAGAACCATGTTCACATTATTACATTATTATATATAATACACAACCATTGAGATGATGACGACTTTCTTAAACTGTTCAAAATAATCTTATGGAAATAAAAATCTGTGATTTTACTATGTGCATAACTTTGATGAACCAAAGCAAGTTAGAAATAAAATAAATAAAATAAATAAAATAAATAAAATAAATAAAATAAATAAAATAAATAAAATAAATAAAATAAATAAATAAATAATTATTTTATTATAGTGTCACATATTTGATCAATATATATATACAACAATTCATAATAAAAACAGAGATCAAATATCCAGCCTTAGAATAGACTTATGAGACACTTAGATATCGACCTGTATTTAAATCAGATTGGTTTTGGATGTTTCTCTCGTATATTCAATATACATGTATATATTCTAATTGCGACTATCTATAGTTCCGTAACCTTCTATCTCGGCGTATAATCCAATGATCGACAAGTGCGTACATTTTGTAAAATCAATATTTGTACGTTTCAAAATGTCCATAATTATTGACAACGAGTAATTACTTACATTTTCCCCAATTTACGTTTGGAAAATATGTAAATATATTTTTATTTTATCAAATCTTTTTTTGGAATTATTTAGATTTTCATAAATGTTCTTTACACCATAAATGTTATTTATAAACAAGCGTATGAGTTTAGTCATATATATAATGGCTATTATATCTATGGTTTAGTAAAGACTAGCATATCACTATCGGACACGCAAGACAAAGATGTATATTCACCTGATAGTTTCAAAATGGAAAGTTACAAGTTATCGGCCGTGTACACTTCTCAATACCCTCAGAGGTGAAGTGATGCACGAACTTGCTTCATGTAATTGTGTAATAAGAGTTTTAAAGCCCAACAAGAAATCGCTTGAATACCTGGACGTGTCAACTCACAATACCTCTGGGAACAATTCCTTTAGCAATGCTGGTGATCAGATAAGGGAAGGTCCGAATTTATTTAAATAAGATTATTACATAAATGAATTATGAACACACTAGATTTTCGAAAACATTTTTACACGGAACACTTAATTTATCACTTTGAACTTTTTAACTAATTTCCATTAACATTTCTTGTTTCAAAAACTTAGTAAAAAAAACAGTTTCAAAACGACAGACCATAGTACTAGTTATTCAAAAAAATTTTTATATATTTACATTTTCCGTATCAAGTTAGTTAGGAAAGGTTGCATGCACAACCATGTCTATTATAATCTTTTTTTGTGACCCGGGAAACTGTTTAGGCTTTCCTTGTCGGGTAAAACAACCGTACGCTTGACAAGATATCGACACTCAATTACGGCTACGTTAGGTTACTGCTTGTTTTGGTCCTTTGTGGTTTATGGATATATCGTGGTTTCTATTCAGGGATGATGTCAAAATGGCCGCACGCGGAGAAGTGATACTCTCAATTTAAAATCGATGGTGATCTCTTATCTAGCAGAATTAAACTTTAATATTTATGAATTTGTGGTTTTTTATACATAATCAACATAATATCAATTTTTTCATTTTTTTGCAAAGTTTCCCTTTAAATACTCTGGATTGACTTACTTTCATGGTTATCAATTTTTGTGGACTGAGAACAAATTATATTTTCATGGATATTTGATTTCATAGTTTTCCCAAAGTCAGCATATGAGCCTATAGAAAAATTTTACCTTGTTGAATATTTAAATTTGTGGTTCACCTATTCCTATGAAATCCACAAAAATTGTTACCTCACAAATAATAATGAATCCACAGTAAGCCCAACACAAATTTCTAGTTTTCAGATCTTTAATCATCTATGTTGAATTATTTTCCATATAATTTACATTGTAAAACTTCATTTTTGAGTTGTTTGTTGGCTGTATCACTGACATTTACATATGATGTCTATCCCTAGCCTGTCAGTACTGAGGTTGTGAGTTTGAACCCAGCACATGACAGGTTGTGTTAAACTCCAATCTTATGTGACTAGGATTGACAGTTTTCCTTACAATGGTCATGGTCCTCTCCAGGCGTTAGTCTTGTATGTTTTTTAATTTTAGTTCATTTAAATGTTTTGGAGTTTAGTGTAATGTCCATTTTTATTGAACTAGTACACATTTTTGTTTAGGGGCCAGCTGAAGCCTGCCTCAGGGTGCAGGATTTTTTCGCTGTGTTAAAGACCCATTGTAGCCTTCGGGCTGTTTTCTGCTCCTAGGTCAGGTTGTTGTCTCTTTCACACATTCCCCATTTCCATTCTCAATTTTACCTCCACCAATAAAAACTGACTGACACAATATAGCTAATAGTGCTGAAAGTGGTGTTAAACACAAACAATCAATCAAGCAGTCAGTCATTATGTTGTCATTTAACTGCTTTCTTATGTCTAGTAGTAATGTGATGACTGGGGTTTGGAAATTTCTGGGTTAGATCACTGGCCCAGTAAAAAAAGACTTCAACATTGGAATTTGATGCTTTTGCAACAAGCATTTAGGAGTTATGTTAAAGTAAAGAATGGTTCGGTCAGAGTCCTAATGATAAACTTGGTAGAGTAAAATGTCTTCTTGCTGAGTGTTACCTTCTGAGATAACTTTATAAAAATCTGACTTAATGTGTCAGTCTAGTACAAAGCAGAGTATATCCATGTGACAGTAACATGTCATCGTCCTAAATATACATACAATAATTTGCTGTTTCGCATTGCATACCAGTAGTTCAATCATATGTTATCTTTTGAGAAAAATTATTATCGAATATGGGAGAAAATAAATGAATAAATATCCAAATGCACGAATTGAAGACGGGAGAAAATAAATGAATAAATATCCAAACTCACAAATCTTCTGGTGCATTGGTTGGCATCCCCAAACGGAAGCCATCATCTATGTGATCTTTTATGGCTTTGTCTGATTCTTGGTCATGGTATGGTAGGTACAGAGAAAGAGTCATAACTTCCCATAGTAATACACCAAATGACCACTGAAAAATAATGTCTTGAATAAAAATACTATGACACAGTACATCACTTTTTAATTTTGTATTACAGCCATCAAAAAATATAGGTACTCTTAAAGTTCTTCAAATCATTATAGACATACGTTTTTTTTAATCGTTTAATGTATAAGTTCTCTAATCATTATATACATTAAAAGTTTGCTGACATTAATTAAATTGAATTTCTTCATATCATTGAAAGAGTTGGTTTCTGATCATTTTTATTCAATCTCGTGTTGTTCAATTATCATCACCAACTTTGAATTATCATCTTTTGTGTAGAAAATATTGTCATGCAAAATCAACCCTAGAAAAGATGTGTAAAGGATGAAAGACTCCTATAGCAGCTCTTTAAGGATAAGTAAGATGTATGCTATTCAATTGTTAATTAAATGGTCAGAGTTAGATAAGTACTGTGTTGGATATTTTCAAAAATGCAAAAATGTTGTCCTTTCCTGGGCAATGAATGATTTTTTTAGTATAAGCAATTGATTAATTTCTCTCACATACATTCCTGCACAGGTATATGTAGTGGATATCAACTAATGTCAAAAAGTACTGACTATTTAGGTTTAAGTTAGAGCCTATCTTATTCTTGTAGTATGGAGTGAACTTCAGTTTATCATTGAAGAACTTCCAGCACCACCAAGATAAGGAACAACAGTGAAAACTTTGTTACTGAATATACTGTCCCCCCATTCTAATATACATGATTGTTGTCGCCTGTGCATCTTCCCTTAAATTCTTCTTTTTCCATTAAAAATGATTAAATTTAAATATCAGTCCATACCACATCAGATGAAATGTCATAATATCCCATCTTAAGACTTTCTAAAGCCATCCATCGAACTGGAAGATATCTCTGTCTTAGTTGATCATACATATACTCTGTTGGATAAAGATTCCAGGAAAATGATGCATCAGAAATCTTTATTAATCCATCTGTCAATACCCTAAAATATAATATTTGTAAATAATTACATTACATGTATGTTTTATTATAATACGTTATTTTGATTGGCTAACAGCAATCTCGCATCATTCTGAAATTAACCTTCATTTCAAAATGAAATGTAACATTCATGATGACACGAGCTTCCACAATAAAGTGCACAAGTAAATAAAAGAAAAACTTGATAGAAATGGTGTTTTCATGATCCTAGCAAAAAAATGTAATTATAAGTATTGAATGCTTCTTTTAGTAATTTTATAGGGTTGTAAAAGCATTGACCGTGCGCACATTTTTAGAATGAAACGCAGAAGCACTTCATACTAAATGTACTTTGGTCAAGGCTTTTACAGCCCAATAAATTTACAAAAAGAAGCATTCAATTCTTAAATAAATTTATTCCCTGTATATAGTGTAAACATTTCAATATTTGTTGACTTCTTTGTATTTAGATAAGCTACCATGGATACAGATACAACCAAAAACAAGTATCATACTTGTATTGACAATGGCCAGTTGGGTTATAATTTATTTTATCTAGAGCTGTTTTAAAACATGCTGCTGACTATGCGGTATGGGCTATGCTCATTGTTGAAGGCCGTACGGTGACCTATAGTTGTTAATTTCTGTGTCATCTGGTCTTGTGGAGAGTTGTCTCATTGGCAACCATACCACATCTTCTTACTTTTATACATGTTGAAACCAAAATACATAGGTTGGAAATTGGGTATAAACTAATTTTAGACAAAACCTGAGCAATATCAATTTCAAGAATGCATGGTTTTGAGTCCACATATTTTCTCATTTTGAACTTGAAAATTTATACTGAAATTTATATAATTATTTAGATAGATTAAGGTTCATCTCATCAGACAAATTGTACTAACAAAGTCAATATTATATGATAAATTACTAAAAGAGACTGTAAGTTAAATTCTTTTCCTGAAACTGCATGTGATATTTGTTAAAAAGCTACCTATCAAGTAATCAATAATTAAGGTTGATTAATGTAAATTCAGAAATTATTGTAAGGTTTATCAATGCAAATAATGTGGCTTGGTGAGTGTCGTAATAATATCTCAGATTTTGACATCCGATACATTTACAGTCCAGCCTTGTTATGTTGAAGACGAAGGGACCGGACCAAAGTATTCGACTTATCCGAGGTTCAACTTATCTGAGGTCGAGTGTGTCGTCATAAATTTGGAATGCATGAAATACGATATGAGTATTGTGTAAACTAGATACTTTGAACAGTGTGTCTTTTTTCGATATGACACGATTGTGTATTCAATCTCCATATTTTTTGGTCCTTCATACTAATTAAACACACAAGTACAGATACAAATCTTCACAAATAAAATCAATAGTATACACTAATATGAACATAGGTCAGTCACTATAAATTATGAAATCACTCGCGGAAGGAAACAAGTTATTTACAGTCTCTGATGAGGTTTTATCATAATTGCTTTAATCGTATTATCTATTATCTATTGTAATTAATGAATTTTAATTCTAACAATTCATTTAATCTCAGCTTGGGTCATTTAAATTCGTTTTGTTTTATGATCAGAAGAAATGTGTTCAACACACTAACATTCTGCTTGGACGATCAAAACAGTGTTAATTACCGGTCACCATAAACATGTCATTTTAACTGTTATACAAACAAGTATGTTTACTCAGCTTTAATCTTTTTTGAAAATGATTAGGTTACATAAGAAATACATCCGATTTGAATTTTCATCATTAGGTCTACATCTGTCGAAATTTCTAACTTACAAACTTCGAGACATCAGGGTTAATTTACATTAATTTTACATCAATGGGATTATAAAATTCAACCAAGTTTCAACTAATCAGAGGTAATTATGCATTGATCAAACGGGCAGTTTACCGGGACCGAGAAATTACTTCGACTCATCCTAGTTTTCGACACAACCAAGTTTGACACAACGAGGTTTGACTGTATCTGTATGCAGTTTTTCCCAAAATTGCAAAAATTAATCTTACATTCTGGTCCATTCTTTAAAATTCACAGTAATAAATGCACTCAATAATTTCTAAATTAACAGTATATCCCTTAAAAGATAACAGATAATAATATTGGGTCAACCAAATGATAATACAGTGCACTGTGACAATTTTCTTTGAAAACTTTCAGAAAGTTAAGGAGGAGTTGCACTTACCAGGTCAATATCATATGATTATAAGAATGGGTAAGTTCAATTATGTGTCAATCCAAACATCCGACTAGAATTACTTTGCAACATGCATATTCATTTGGTGAATCAACATTGTGTAATGGCTGTTTTTTTTTAAATCTATCTAAAGGGTTAGCAAAAGATGCACTTACTAATTCTTAGAACAGATTGACATACAGTATGACAAGGTGATTCATTAAAATTTCTAGATTAGTTTATTTTGAGAAAATGACAAATATGGAACAATTTTTGGTCATATGGAAGTTGAAGTTACTGTTTTATGGTATTTCTTTAAAAAAATATTCTTTAACTTACACACAGTTCCTTGTAGCCAGGTCTTTATGAACCATGTTTTCATTGGACAGGTAAGTCATTCCCTGTGCAACCTGCAGACACATCTCAAGTAACTGTTTTACAGTGAAATCCTGTGAAAAGTTTACAGAATGAGAACAAGTATATACAGTACCATTGCATCACTGTTTACATGAAGGGACAATAATAAATTTACCCTGTTATTATTCATAAGTGAATAAACATTTCATTTGATTCAGGAAAACTTGCATTTTTGTGAATATTTCATTTAGTTGTTTTGCCAAAGTCTACATACAGACCTGCGAAAAATTTGTATTTCACTGAACATTTGAATTCATTGATCATCTGTACCCATGAAAACCATGAAAATTAGTATCCAACAAATAATAATGAATCCACAGTATCTTAAGACTGCTCTCCAGAATCCACCACCAAAACTTTATTTTAAGGACCATCTAACACATCACCTCTTTCTATACAATAAGGGTATATCTTTTAAAAAGCCATATCTTCATTAAAACAAGAATGTGTCCATAGTACAAGGATGCCCCACTCTCACTATCATTTTCTATGTTCAATGGACCGTGAAATTTGGGTAAAAACTCTAATTTGGCATTAAAATTAGAAAGATCATATCATAGGGAACATGTATACTAAGTTTCAAGTTGATTGGACTTCAACTTCATCAAAAACTACCATGACCAAAAACTTTATCCTGAAGCGGAACAGATGGACGGACGAACGAACGAACGGACGAATGATTGGACGCACAGATCGAAAAACATAATGCCCCTCTACTATTTATTGTAGGTGGGGCATAAAAAAGCATTAACAGAGCATTGGTTGTTTTTGGCTTTATATTTCTTAGAAATAGATGGAAACAAAACCGTGATGAAGAAGATTGTTGATTACTGTTTGTTTTAACATTCAGGATGAGAATAAGTAACATTAAACAGAATACAAAGTGGATCACTAGGATTAAGAGTGATAAATTAAGATTGCCACTGGAAAATGAGGGTGTCTTAGATAGCATACATTTTGACTTGCAATAAGCCACCTACTGATCCCTCAAAGAGTTGTTGCAAGAATTCTTTGACATGCAGAGAGCTCCTTACAAGAGAGGCATCCATTTATGTCCCCATTCTAACCCAACATTGCTGCCTATTTATACGTCCTACACAACCAAACAGAAACCCACTAAATATGGGTTTTACTGCAAGACGGTCAAAGTCCATGTGACCGTATGTTTAAACCTGTCAGCTCGAGGAGTCAAAAAGAAAATCTCTATAAATCTGTATGTACAAAAGAATGTTTTTTTTACTACTAAGGTATCTGTATTGAAACTCAATTATGAAGATAAAATTGTTATGTATTACTGAATTAATTACTTGTTGCACTTTTCAGCTAGCCAGTAGAAGTAACTTAAAAAATCTCAAGACTAAATTCTAGACTTTAGTTTATAATTCCCGACATGAGCTATTGAAATGATTTATACTAACATGTTTGGCATCATTTAAATATTCTTTAAATCCTCTACTGTAGGCAGGATAAAACTCGTAGAATCTATTTTGGTCAACAGAAATACCCAGCATTCTTTGTATATTGTCATGGAAACAATCCTGGAACTTCATACATTCCAACAATCCGTTATTAACCCAAGCAGGGTACTTGTTGTCAACCACTGCAAATATATAAAAGTAGTCTTATTTGGCAAGATATTGATGACAGAGCGTTGCTGCTTACAATGAAGCTACTTTAGCACTGGTTTTTAAGAGTAAACTTGAAGTCATCTATTTTAAAATTTCATGGACATAATCATGACCTGGTTGTAATAGAAAATCTGTATCACAGATGAACAAAGATTTGTTCCATTTAAGGTAGCCCTAATCTGTCTTAACTACTTCTTTAATGACTGTCACCAAATGGCAGTTAATCAAAGATTGAGTTGCTCTATGTTAAGGTTTCTGTGATTTTTTTTGGGGGGGACTGCTATTTGTCTGTTTACATGGCCACAATGTTCTTTGTCCTTCTGATGATAATCTTTTTAAGTTTTTCAAGGAAACAATTGAGTTCTTTTAAAATAAAAGCCATCATATCTTTTTACTTCTTGGAAATTTAAAAAACAAAAAACTTAAAATCAGTAATCAATATCTACTTGTTGAGATACATAAGAAATATTCAGAAATTCAGAATGTTATAAAATGATCTGTTGACAAGATTATCAAGATAAATAACTCACTCAAATCCATACATTTTAATAACAATGTATCAAAAAAAAAATCACAATTTACAGATCAATATTCTTTGTCAGTTAAATATTACAGTTTGTATTCGTTGCTTGCAATCGGTGTTAAATTAATTTCATACTGCTTGTATAACAGAATTGCATTACAGAATTGCATTACAGAGTTGCATTATAGAATTGCATTACAGAATTGCATTATAAAATTGCATGACCATGTTAAATCTAATTGGTTACATAAAAGCAGACCCTGAGAGTAAGGGGATGTGGGGTATATGCCAATAAGACAGTAACCCAATAATACAAGAAAACTGAAACAGCATCTTGAGGTCAATATACAGTGTTGAACAACAAACAAATTTCTATACCATATGTTAAATTCTAAATCTCCTCAAGTCTTCATAACTACAAAACTAGAGAAAGAAGTCATCCTAAATTCAGGATGCATGAATGTGGTCCAGATTTTGCTATGAAGGAAACCCTACAAGACATTTATCTGAAAACAAAAAGAGTCCACAAACTTAAATGTCTGGCCAGCTTCATTGATTATAACTCAATGTTTTGTTGAAAAACTTGATAATGTATTCACTAAAAATATTCAGAAAACTTAGAATTAATCAATGAAGCATCAAAATTGTGTCATGGTCAGGTGAGACCTGTCAGTAACACTTTATAATGAATCTATAACCCATACTATAACTTGAAAACTAAAACCATAAAAATAAATTCTTTGAAATCTAGGTCAAATGACTCTATTCAGACTGATATGTATCACTTAAAATGATTCTATAGACCAAATATAGTTGATCTATTAATCATTGACTAAGAAACTGACCAAAGACCAAAACATTCACATAAATTATTATACATGAAAAGCAGTCAAGGTGAGATAACTCCTGTCAAACAGACAGTTTTTTGTATGTTTGTTGCTGTGCATGTACTGATATTGTGTCACGGATGGATACCCCATATCCTTTGTTTTTCTATTATTATGATATCACCTGACAATGATATAATGGACCAAAAACAGTTGACTCATAGTAACTGACTAGCTGAACTAAGGAAGACAAATTTACTTGATCATTGAACATTGAAAATAAGGTTAAGGTTAGATAACTTCTGTGGGACAGACTTTGTCACCGTACAATTATAAGAACCAAGTATAGAAATGGAGAAACTAATCAAAGTGCAAAAATTAAAAGTTGAATACTAAAGATGAAAATTGGGTCTAAGTCAGGTGACTTTGTGTACAGGCCAAATATTACTAATAATAAATGGGATATTTACCAAATTCAGAAAACTTAACACTTGACTATTTATAAGTCATAACCACAAAATGTACAGGTCACAATGTGTATTCTTTCAAATTCAGACATTTGGCTAGGAGGATTGGTCTATACAAGATGCTTACCAACTTTTGCAAAAAGTCTTTGTTTTGCAATCAGAAAATCAGAAATGTTTCTACATATGGATGCCTCCGATATAAATTATTATGCATGATTTAAAATTTGCTGAAAGTCCTACCAAATTAAACCTGACTGTAATATAAAAAAAAATGAATAATAAAATACTTACACAATTCCTTTAATGTTTTTACATTGGTTTTGATTGTCAACTCTTTACCAGCATTTGGAGAATTTTTACTGAATGTTCCATTTAGTACCCGGATTTCAGTTCCTGAAATGTAAATGATCCTGATTATTACAAGAAAAAAATTTACATTTTGTAGGTTTAAAAAAAATGTAATTCACTTTACTTTTCATGATAACTTCGTTTTCTCAGAAAATTTCATTCAGAAATATTAATGGTTTGAAAAACTTTATCCTTGCACTCAAGAAAATACTTTTTCTGGGAAAAAAGTAACAGTCTATAAAACAATTTAAGAAAAGTAAACATACAGAATATACTACATACCTTTTAGTGTACACACTTTACCAGGCTCTATATTTTGCCTGTCTGATATACTTTTCTCAATCTTTTCTCTTACTGAACTTTCTATTTTATGAAGGAAATCTTCAGAACAATCTGTTTCGTCATAACTTAAAGCTTGTTCTAAATGATGCTTCTCAGAATACATTCTATTAGGAAAGCTAGGTACTACTTCTTTCTGTATTAAGTTAGTTGTACTAGGTGAAGTGCTTCCTGCATTATACATCGGTAGATCAAATCCATTCTGAACTGGATCTGAAAATACATATGTAATTCAATAATAAGAAATTCCTAGATACCAAAATTAATAATATATGCACATTTAAAAATGTCAGTGGTGCTGGAAACCAAATGTTTGAAATTCAAAAGTATCTTTAATTGAAAATTTATCAACCTCCCAGAAACTTCAAACATAACCAAAGCAAGACTGGAGCATAGAGAAGATAGCATTAAACAAAAAGAAAATTATCAAATATCAATATCAAAGTTATATCATCCCTGTCATAACCCCTCTAAAACCAGATTCTTAAGATATGAAAGTATTACTATGCATTTTATAAAAGTCATTAAAGAGATTCACAAGACAAACTTCTTGCATTTCAAAATAAAACTGTTCTTTTCTCAGCATTTCAGTTCAATCTTGGCTTTTTCGCTCACCTAGGCGTATGTGCATGTCAACAATGGGCACTTTCTTACATTGTAAACTAGAATAGATTTCATGACAAAAATATCTTTTTTGTTAATTTTGTATTGCTGATCATTTTTTCTGTTTACAGTTTATCTCTATCTTTGGTTTTTGACCAAAACATAAAAGATTAAAAACAAGAGGCTCTCAAGAGCCTGAATCGCTCACCTGTAATTTTTTGCTTAAATCTTTCATCAATGATTATTTTTGCTTTTCAATATATATTAATGAGTGGCTTAAAAATGCCATATAAATGTTCTTTGTATCTGTCATATTTTCTTCAAAAGCAAAAAAATGCATTTTACCCCTTTGTTCCATTTTAGCCATAGTGGCTATGTTTCTTGACGTACAAGGAAATAAAATACAAAATTTATACAAGATACTCTGAAACTCATTCAGTCCAAGTTTGGCTGAAATTGATTCATCAGTTTCAAAGGAGAAGATTTTTTAAAGTAAGCAAACTAGATTAGATGAACAAATTGTGAAAAATTGTCTTTAAAGGACAATAACTCCTTAAGAGGTCAATTGACAATTTTGGTCATAGAAACTTATTTGTAGATCTTACTTTGCTGCACATATTGCTGTCTACAGTTTATCTTTATCTATAATAATATTCAAGATAATAACAATAAACTACAAAATTTCCTTAAAATTACCAATTTAGTGGCAGCAACCCAACAATGGGTTGTTAGATTCATCAGAAATTTCAGGGCTGATAGAACTTGACCTAATGAACATTTTACCCATGTCAGATTTGCTCTAAATGCTTTAGATTTTGAGATATAAGCCAAAAACTGCATTTTACCCCTATGTTCTATTTTTAGCCATGGTGGCCATGTTTTTTGACGAAACAGAAAATAAAACACAAACTTTATTCTAGATACCCTAAGGATCATTCAGCTTAAGTTTGGTTGGAAATGGTTCAGTAGTTTAAGAGAAGAAGATGTTTGAAATAGTTTACACCAGACGGACGACGACGCCAGACGACGCTGAATGACGACGATTGCAAAATGTCATTTTAGGGCAATCACTCCTATAGAGTATAGAGTATACAAACAATTTCTTCAAAATTTGGACTTATTTGTAGATATTGCCTTGCTGATCATATTTGCTTATTCAAGCATGAACTCCAATAAGGACTGACGATTTCAGCCATGTTGACTTATTTGTAGATATTAATTTGCTGATCATTTTTGATATTTTAGGTGTCCATCTATCTATTCTAGTTTTCAAGATAATAGGCAAAAACACTTAAAATTGGTAAAAATCATCATTAAAGATCAATAACTCCAATACAGAGTCAACTGACCATTTCGGCCATATTTTTAAACTAGATGTCCTTATGATGATTGTGGCCAAGTTTGGTTTAATTTGTCCCAGTTGTTGGTAAAATTTAATAATTGACGACAACAAACAACAGACGACAGACACAAAGTGAAATGAAAAGTTCACTTGGCCCTTTAATAAGAGCATATTGTCTATCAAGAAATAGTTTTAAATTAAAACAAATTAATGTAGAATAAGACACAGAAAAAAATATAAATATGGGAAGATCTTATACTTATAAGGATCAAAATATTAAAAAAAAAAAAAAAGGTAACAAAAGGTTCATTTCTTAATCCAGTTCCTTCCCATTTATTGACCTTTTTGCTGTACAAAATACAACAATTAAATTTCTCTTAAGTGTATAATATTAACATTCATATATATTTTATTAGATATTCTCCCTGGATACCTAATAATTAATACACAGGGAAACTTAGCCCAATGCTGTAAGCTAAGTAAACTGTTAAACAGCATATAGTGCAATAAAGATGATTTAATTGTGTTAAAAAAAAATCTCTTGGCAATCACATTTATAATTATAAGTTCAATATTGAGGTCAAGCCAGAGGCAGGAAATTGGTAATATGGCAAAGTGAACATAATTTTTAAAAGATGTGAATGATCTACTCTAAATTTACTTGAGGTTGTTACATTTTCCTTATTTTAAGATACCAAAAAAACTTTTATTGATTAATTGATTGTTGTTTGCTTAACATCCAGTGGCAAATATTTCATACATATTCAGGGTGAAACTTCAATTGATTGATTGATTGTTGGTTGCTTACTGTCCAATGGCAAATATTTCATGCACGTTCAGGACGAAACATTAATTTAAGAAACAGACAATACCATCACCAAAACCAAACAAATCAACAGCTTTGTTGTAAAAAAAAAAACCCAAAAAAACCAATTACCCTTCGGCAATACAAAGGAAAACCCAAGATTGAGCACCATGAACTACATGAAAAAAAATTAAGAAGTATAAGCAGTTTTTACTGCAAATTGTGAAAACAAGTAATAAAATTATTGTAAGATTTTCAGAAAGCAGTGTTAAATATAACATCAATCCCACAACAATTACTTATAGGGACCTTAGTAGCTGAGTAATCTAGGTAGTTCATCAACATTTAATCATACCACCTAACATTTTGTATATTGAAATAGCTGCTTAGTAATGTTATTTTTCAAAAGCTTATGTCAACAGATAGGGTATGTTTAATTTTCAATTTGTTGGATACAAGTATTGTTTTTGTAAAAACGAGCCAGAGCAGTTACTATTAAAGGACTATGTTTCAATTTTTACTAAGAAAAATATGAAATCTTAAATTGCAAGTGTTTAGTACTTCTTCATCATCAAATTCCCAAAAATGAATAAAGATATATTAGTTTTTTGATGCACTTTAAAAATGAATAAAAATTCCAATTTTTAAATGTCTCCACAAAGTGAATAATTTTCACACTTGTGACTCAATTGATTTTTGCACAATCAGGTAAGTTTGAGTTACTTCCCTTAAGTCTTAGCTGATATAGAGATAGATATTCATTCAATTTACTGGTGTGTAGTAATTTTGTTTGCAGTTTCTCAGTGAAAGTGAGTAGTTTACCTAGCTAAGAGACTACACTGTCTCCCATCAATAAAGTTGATGAGGGCCATAACATTGTATGACTAATTATAAGTTCAATTATCTCCCTTTAAACAAATACTACTTACTCTTTGAGGAGTTGTTATAAGATTCTGTCCTCTTCCTTCGACAACAACAACAACAAATAACAATAATTAACACCAAAATAACAAAAGCTCCAGCACCAATGGCTATTCCAATAAACTCCATTGTATTCCAGAATAATATAAGTTTGATCTTTCCTGCTGTATGATTAAAATTTCCAATTTTTACCTATAAAACATGATGAAGTAATGTATGTGTTAAAAAAATACTAATATTCAGAAATTGTTGTGTGCATTTATTATTTCAATTGTAGATCAACAGACAAACATGTGAGATTTATTAAAGCAATTTCAGCAATACAGCATCCAAATAATGACAATTAAAATTTAGAATGCAAGTCTTAATATATGTGTTGCTAATTATGTGGTATTTTTGCAATACATTTTTGTACTACAAACATTGCAAAAGAAAAATTAATTTATGTATATATACTGACTGCAGTTTATCCTGAAGGTAGGCCATGATAAACTAATTGGAAAATGATTCACAACAGTTTTGAAATATCAGACAAGCATTATAATTTTGATTCAATCCAGAGTTGACAGTTATTTCATGCCCTTCTATTTAGTTACATAATTTCATGTTCTGTGAACCGTGAAATCTGGTTCAAAATCTTAATTTTTCAAAAAATTTATAAAAGTTCTCAAAATGAACAAGTGTACTAAGTTTCAAGTTGATGTGATCAAAGCACCTAAGTAACCTACTTTAACCAACAAATTTAACACAAAATTGTACTAATTTCCCTCTACATATATATCATATTTCAATGCTCAGTCGACAATGTAAAATTTGGGTCAAAACCATAATTTCGCATATAATTTAATACAGCTATCAAAACGACTCCATAATTTACTGTCTGTGTGAATTAGCTTGTATATTTTTTTGTTTCAATCATTCAATCTTTTTCCTGGGAATATGACGAGTGGATCAAAACTGTGTGCATCATTGAAATTGAAAGGACATACATTTCAAAGGTAGGAATTTCATTTTATTGCAGTCAACCTTCTTAAATGTAAAAATTGCAATTTGGAATATAATGCAATTTTATGCGACTGTCATACAAGTGAGCGGTTTAGCTAGCTACAAAACCAGGTTTAATCCAGCATTTCCTACATAAGGAAATGCCTGTACCAAGTCAGGAATATGACAGTTGTTTTCCATTCGTTTGATGTGTTTGAGCTTTTGATTTTGCCATTTGATACGAAACTTTCCTATCTGAATTTTCCTAGGAGTTCGGTATTTTTGTTATGTTACTTTTTGCAAATGCCTTAAATGTAAGTTGTTTTTCAGAGGTGTAATGCAGCAATCCAGGATCTGTCTGTTCACATTATGAAAAATTCATCGGCATTATTTTCTATTTTTGTAGGGACAAAAGTTTGAAGGAAATGTAGAAAAAATATTCCAAGCACCATTTTTTAGTCTGTTTGACTCCCCCCCCCCCCCCAAAAAAAAAAAAAAAATTAGAAAAACCACACACACAAAAAATCAGATTCATAGATTCTCATAACTATTTACCTACATTTTTCCCCTGCTCAGTGTCTAAAAATTTGCAATATAAAAAGAAATTCTTCATGTCTTTACTCTTTACCAGCAAAAAGTAAGTTATAAAAAGTTATACAACATTGCCTACATTCCCAAATTTTTAAGAGAGTTTGATGAGGACCTAAGAATTATTTTTATATCATTACATTCATACCATTATGTCGGCAGAATCCAAACTGACACCAGGAAAGTCAAGGTCAGGTTTACATGTTATTCTTTTATTTGTTGAACTTTCTATTTTACAGTTAATACTTCCAATCATTATTTTTAAGCTTCCTGGACAAGCCTCCTTCAGTCTAGTACCCTGCAAAACAAATACTTCTGTAGAACTTCAAATTTTCATCATAACAAACAAATCTAATTTCTCATTAATTTCTTGAGCAGCTTACTTCTGAAAGTTCACATACAGGGCCAATTTTGAAATCCAAGCAATTTGCTTCTTTTATTAAAGTTTCGATAAGGTTACAGATTTCTTTAATATAAACAATTTTAAAAAGTGTATTTGTGTGTTTGAACACAAGACAAGGTTCATTTGGTTTTTTTTCTCACTCTAAATATTTTAAACCTTGCCTCATGTATATCTCCAATGCATTTTTTAATTTTTAGGGCATAATCAATGCCGTCTCAAACTTTTAGTTCAAGATTAATCATGCATTTCAATAGTTAGCTTCAAATAACATTTATCTTACCTGAATTATAATATTATCCGAAAACAACATTTTGTAATCATCATATGCCTGGGGTACAACAGTTGGGTTACTTGTTATGTTAAAAAATGCCTGATTGAAGCTTGTAGACAAATCTTCATACATTGTAACCCCATCTAAAGTAAGTCCATATTTGATACTGCTTCCAATGGTTCCTTTTGGTGATTCACATACCAGGATAGTTGATCCAACAGGTCTACAGTTTGTCTGAAAATAAATCACTAACATTCAAGAATATAGCTAGTTCTTATTGTAAACTTCTCTTTTCTATGCTTTTCCACTGATTTTCACACATACCCCCGGTACCCAGTTTAGGCCTTTAAACAATTTTTAAGCACTGAAATTAAACTTTAAAAACATCTAAGAGCTGTTTAGATTTTAATTAATTTATCATCATCGTGAATATGTAAAACTTGGATCTTTCCTTGTCTAACTACATCTAGTAAATAAGAAAATCACGAAATTAAATCATCGCATAGTAGGCTAAAATGGCCATAAAACAAGAAAAAAATAAGTTGGTCTAAAGTATCATTATTTATGGTATACACTGTTTTATGATGTTCCCTAGATTGTGATGTCACATAGTACTAACTCTAAATGAATTGCCTGGCATATCAGATATTAACTTAGGCTGGTGTACACTGTCTTATGATGTTCCCTGGATTGTGATGTCACAAAATACTTATTATGATATAATTGTTGCCTAGCATGTAGGATATTAACTTAGGTTGGTACACACCATCTAATGATGTTCCCTGGATTGTGATGTCACATAGTACTTACTGTGATATTATTTTTAGCTAGCAAGTAGGACATTAATTTAGGCTTGTATACACTGTCTAATGATGTTCCCTGGATTGTGATGTCACAAAGTACTTACTGTGATATTATTTTTGGCTAGCATGTAGGATATTAACTTAGGCTGGTATACACTGTCTAATGATGTTCCCTGGATTGTGATGTCACATCCACCACTGAAATTATTTAATAAGATCAGATCTACATATATAATGCATGTAAGTTAAGAGAGAATTCTATCATTGTATCAATTAAGTTCTTCAATCTATTGTTCTGTGAAACATGTCTTCCGTTTCTTGACCATTCACCTGATTTGAATAGGACAAAGATTAAATCATATGAAAAAGTACAGAAAACAAAGTTAGTTAATTAAATTGTTAGAATTAGAATTATTTTGCGTCATCACATTCCTTTTTTTCTTTCACTGAATTCATAAAATCCTCAAATCCTGAGGATAATAAAAGCAGATGAAACTAGTTTACAGCATAAAAAATTTCATGAAATTGGAATGATTTCATAGAACATTTGTATGATATTGATGTGCACAACATTGATTTTTGGCTTTATGTAAAAACAAAAAAATATACATATGATAAAAGAAAAGTGTTCCAATGTTCCCCGTGTTGCACATTTTTTATCTGTCCACGGGTAATTACGAAAAAAAATTTTGTTGTTTTTTTTCACCTTTTTATAAATATCTAAGAGAAATGAAGGCTTGAGAGCAAATGCAATGAAATTTCAGATATAATTCATATTTTCAAGAGGCATTACTCTTTCAAAAATATTTGATTGGCAATTTTTTTTTAAATTGTCCGTGACATTGCTGATATAAAACTTAGATATAAATTTGATAAAAATCTAGCAAAAATTGTTCATGTTCCATATCATTAATATTTCCAAGGGCATAACTTTTAAAAAAATAATTGATTGACACTGATTTTCAAATTTGTCCGAGACATTGCTGATATAAATTTATGATATAATTACCAATTGGGAGTACTCACATAAATTGAAAGCTAGTTCAAATCCATTAACAACCTATAACTAATCATGTGTCCAAGACAAAATATCAATAAGTACACATACTATATTCAGTGTAAATACATCATAAACAATCTAGGAAAACATGACTTTGTTCCATGCCAAGATATAAGCATTGACATGCATATATAGTTGTTGCATAAACTAGAATTTGTTGCCTTAAATTTATCACTTAAATAAACCAAACTTATGACTTCAGGAAAAAGCCTTCTTAACAGTACTACAGATGTAGTATTCCTTACTGACATCGTAGTGGACTTTTGGCGCTCTTCTAAACTTCAGAGAGAATAGATGACAATACTAGATTATGATTGTAACGTTTGTCAAAAACTTTTTTAGTATATATTTATAAGTTAAATTTAATGGTCAGTGAAAATGATTATATCTGAATTCACCAATATCAAAACAAAAAGTTGTTGTATTCACTGTACCTTTCAAATGATACCATTGAATTCACTTTTGTAATAACTGGATCCCTTTTGTACTGGAACCTCCATGTTAATTTGTTATCTTCCGTAACACCATCATATGGTTCTTTCCATCTGAGCAGAAATGAGGTCCACTTAGAGGTATCTGATTTGCCAGTTTTAAATATAACTGTGGTCTGGTTCCTGTTTAAGATATATAAAAAAAATATGGAAATTTAAAGCCTCCATTTAACACAATTACTGTGACTTTACTTAATGTTTTTAGCCTCTCATTTGCAGCTCATAAGATAAAATCATTTGTGATATGAACCCTACCTGTTCAATTGTTCATCTTTTACAAAATGAAAGTATTTTCTCACAAAAATTTTAACCTTCCTTTGACATGATGTTTGTTAAAATCATTGAAATCAACTGAGACATCTTCTTTACTTATCATACAACATAGATGTGTTAATGAACAGACAGACAAACAGATCACAACAGAGCACTGTGGACTAGTTGACAGGCCATTATAAGGTTTACTGTAATTATATTCAACATGCATCATGACTATTACTGGTTAAAGATTAGAAGCTGTTACCATGAAGATATTTGAAAAGGTCCGCCTGATGCTCCAATATCCATAAAAATATCCAGGTCTGCCTTTGAATCAGCCTTTGAATCAGTATCTGAACCAAAAAGATGTCCAGTCAGTGTAACAACAGTCCCACCAAACATTGGTCCATAGCTTGGCATCATGTTTTCTATTACTGCATCCTAAAAATCATATTCATTTAAATATATTTAACAGTTTAAAAATGTGTAAATTGGATTTTGAAGCTTAATCCATTGATGACTTTTTTTCTTAAATTAATCAAATATCCAGTATGTCCCCAGTTAGAATAATAAGGATCAAATGTTCATATGTCGGAGTTTATTGAAGTGTAAACAGATTTAATCATCCTGTGAACATTTATTTGTCTGTGCAACTTTCAGCAAATCTACACACTAAGGATCTCCAAAAGAATGCTCTATTCTATATTACTTTACAAAAGTTTTGAATTTGTTGAAAATAAATGTAATAGATCGAATGACTGTTACAATAACATTGTGTTATACATGTATGCCTGTCACAAGTCAGGAGCCTGTAATTCAGTGGTTGTTGTTTGTTTTTCGTTCATTAATTTGTACATAAATCAGGCCGTTAGTTTTCTCGTTTGAATTGTTTTACATTTGTCATTTCGGGGCCTTTAGCTGACTATGCAGTATGGGTTTTACTCATTGTTGAAGGCCATACGGTGACCTATAGTTGTTAATTTCTGTGTCATTTGGTCTCTTGTGGAGAGTTGTCTCATCGACAATCATACCACATCTTCTTATTTTTATATATGTATGTAGAGAAAGTTCAAGTCAGTTATCATGGTACACAAGTTTAACACTTAATCCAACTAAAATACAAGGTTACATTTTTAAGACAAAATTGAACAGATTTCAAAATCCTTTACAAATGCCAATCTTGGTTGAAAATAAAAAGACTCTACCTTGTAACGTTTTAGGTGTAATACCACCAAATCTTAGTATGTCACATCCGGTTGCATACGAAAAAGGGGCGAAAAAAAATATTCCCTTGAATTTGACAGTTGTAGGAAATTAATCCTACATTTCATTGCAGTAAAAAATTTCTGGGTCATAAACATATATCTTGGGTGTTTCAAAGCACCATTATTTTTTTATTTGGTGTTTCTATAGAATATTTTGGAAACTTGAGGTTACATGGTTACTAAAGCTTGTACACAGTTTTTTATATTGAATCATTTTTGGGAAGTTTGCTATAGCAATACTTTCGTAAGGCGTCGGCCTCAAACTTCCGGTGACAGACTATCGCAAATGTTCTGCTCCAAGAAAATGTAGTACTAGTGTTTGAATACCGATTCTAGGAAGATGCTTTTGAAATTTTGAGTCCTTTTGAAAAGATTACAACTTGAATAAAAAAAGGAATGAATGTTCACCGACAATTCAGCTGAATTTAACTTCATTTTGAAAATGATTATCACAAACACTACTTCGCGGATTTTCCATGCGCTGAAGAGAAAATCGAAAGAAATCTACGCGAGACATCGTTTAATTCATGAATATTTCATGAATGAACATTTTCCCGCGCAATTTTTACTACGTACGATATTTACAAATGTCTATTATTAAATATAAAGTAAAAGCCCGAGTGTATCGAAAGAATCCCGTATGAATGCAACATGTGTATATATTTTGACCAAGCCATCGGATAATTGACAAGTGATAAAAGTTTGATTGAACAATTATACACAGGTGACAGAAATGATCGATAATCATATGGCTTATGTCGCACGCCAAGGCTGAGTAAAGGTAAATACCGGCTATGATAGAAAAGTGCATGTTTTTGTCAAAACATCGATCGGAAGGTTTTGATGCCAAAAACATTTTAAAACTTTTAAATTCCGCTATTTAAAAACTAGCTATTTCACATTCCAATGTGGATTTAAGGACCTTCACTTGTCCAGCATGCCCGGTCATGTGGATCAAACTGACAGCTAAAAAACATTGACACGACGACAGTTCGTACATATCACAGCTTCCTCAGTGTTACGATTAACAATTACATTTGTACACAAATCGTTACAAGGATGAGGCAGACAAGTCAGCTTCTACTTAAAATAACTCAGCTAGTGTATCAAGACAAGTGCTGTAGCAATTATTTACATGATTTTAAAAATGATCTGTCCATGTAATAGCAAAATGACTTTCTTACTCTTAGTGCTAGTCCAAATAATTATGACGCACCAAAAATCTCAAATGTTATTGCCTCAATGATAAATTTCACAGCATCAACTATAAAATGTGTTACAGGGTTATAAGCACCTCTATGAATCTAGTGTATATTAACTTTTTATTCCTGTCGTCATACTGCTATTGTTATGTCCCCACCGTATTAGGTTTAACCCTTTTTCTTCTGTAAGTATGTACGTCCCTTACTTGTACATACGTCCATACATCCAAAAACTGGTTTCTGTTCTCTAACTTTAATTTCCTAAACCAAATTGTATGAAACTTATACGCAATGCTTATTTCCTCAAAACACAGGTCAAGTTGAAATTTGGTGGTGTCGATTTTACAATACTAGAGTTATGCTCCTTAACAAATGGAAAAGTTGCTTGAATTTTTTGTTTACGAACTCTTAACTTTAGTTTGTCTCATTATACACAATGCTCATTATCACAAAACACTATTAAATTTGAGTTTTGGTGGTGTCAGTTTTACTGTGCTAGAGTTATGCCCCTTTACAAATTTAAAAATTGTGATTGTTGTCGAGCCTTCGACTTTTGTAGAAAAAGCGAGACATAGCGATCCTACATTGCGTGGGCGGCATCCACAAATATTCACTTTGTGGTTAAAGTTTTTGAAATTTTAATAACTTTCTTAAACTATCCTGGATTTCTACCAAACATGGACAGAAGCTTGTTTATGATCAAAAGCTAGTATCTAGAAGGAAATTTAGTTAAAATTTTGTTCTTGTTTTTCCATATTTTACTTATTAATGGACTTAGCTTTTCTTCCAGTTAACAAAACATACAGTCTGCAGTGAAATTTTTTAAAACATTTATTAGATTCATAAACTATCCTGGATTTTTACCAATCTTGGACAGAAGCTTCTTACAATCAAAAGATAGTATAGAGAGGAATATTTTTATTTATTTTTTTCCTCATTTTTGTTGAGCCTGCGATTAACAGCAAAAGAAGGCGAGACACTGGGTTCCGAGGAACACATACAATTTTTTTTTCAATTCCGTGCTCTAACTTTAGTGTGCCTCAACCAAATGTTACGAAACTTATACACAATGCTTTTAACCACAAAACCAAGATCTACGGTAGTTTGAATTTTGGTGCTGTCATTTTACTGTTATGGTTAGGGTTATGCCAAGTTACGAATGGAAAAAAATACTATAAAATCACAGGCCCTAGATATGGCATGGGCACATAAAGAAATTAACAGAGCTTATTGTATATTTGATTATTTTAGAACAACAGTTTAAGGTTGCAATAGAGAATATCAAAATTTTATATGACAGTTACATATGACAAAAAGTGATTTTTGATAATTGCTGAAAAGAAAATGGTTTAGTTAAAAACATCAAAGCTGTGATTAAATACATATTTGAAATAATACACATCTATAACCTATTTGAAATAATACACATCTATAACCTATTTGAAATAATACACATCTACAGTTGCAAACTTCCCAGAGGTACTATCCAGCACTTTGATTTGTCTAGGTTTCATTACATTCCTCGAAGTTTTACAAAGTAATTGGTGCCTAACAATCTATTTAGTCACAGTATGTAAATATTAAATTTAAAAAAAAACCTAAATCCAATCATCGATAAATTACTGAAAAATAGAAAATAATTAATTTTAAAATTTTGCTTCAGGCATTACCTTTTTATAAAAAAACTCCTGCAAAAGTTTTACACACAAGTTACTGATGTCTAAAACAACTTTAAGCCCAGACTGTATCTACATGTTAACTCTGAAAAAAGACTTAATTCAATTTATCTGTAAAATAAAGGAAAATGAAAATAAGATTTTAAATTTGCACTGCATAGTACTGTTCTTAATGATAAAAAAAGAACTCAAGAGTGTTTGACAATTTGTTGGTGTCTGAAATACTTTAAGCTTAGACTGTATGTTCATGTTAACTTTAACATTTATTAGTTAAATTAACAGAAAATGAAAAAAGGGGGGATATTAAAAACTTACAAAGCCACAGCCAAAAACCTAAAAGATTGCAAAGACTAACAAATTCACAAAACACTGCATAGAAAACTTAAGATTAAGCAACAAAACCCCCACCAAAAACCAGGGGTGAACTCAGGTGTTAAAAACTTTATGGAAAATTGAAAACAAATATTATCAAAATTTAGCTCTGGATACAGTCTTTTGGTTGTAAAAATCTTCTGTCAAAGTTTCATAAAATTCCATGAAGGTTCAACAAAGTTACTGATGTTTAAAAAAAAATAACCACTGACTGAACCTGAAGCTGCTGACAACAACAGATGGCATGTATGATCACTATACCGTGCTTCTGTAACAAAAATGTTGCAAGCCTGACGATCAAAAAGGTTCTACTTATTCAGCTGTAATGTAAGATCGACAGACTAACCATATATCCTTCATATGGACAGGTGAATGGAAAGATTGGCATATAAAAATATACTTTAAATCTTACCTTATTTTATGAAGAAAGAAATAGTTTTTGCAAGCTGCGAATCAAGCTAAAACCTTGAATCATGGGGGGAAAAGTTTTTTTTTGTTTTTGCTATTAATTAGTAAAATACCATGAAAACAAAATATCTTGAAAATGACAAACTTGAATTTTTCCTATATGGATTCATTAATAGTTAAAAAAAATCAGTAACTTAAATCCCTTTTAAAAAAAAAACTGGAAAGTTTTAAACAGTTTTAAAGATAATACTTTTATGAAACTACATAACTAATTCAATTTGTTCTAAACACAGAACTTTGCTTTATTTCCCCCAAGTATACTTACACAAGGTTTGTTTTCACTTTCTCCTTGACAAATACATTGTCCTGTCTTAGCATTACAGTTAATACCACTAGATCCATACTTATTACATCTACAGCTAGTACACCCATTTGATTTAACATTTTCTAATCCATAAGTACCATTCGTACATGTGTCACATTGTTTTCCTAAAATTAAATTCAATATAAGAATTATCACCATATCATTGACCATCCTTGCTACAAGTCTGATTTCTATTGCAATCTGTTATCTGACTTCTAGTAAAAAAGATAAAATTCTCTGAATAAGGAATAAACTGAACTGTTCCATTTTAATAGGTGAGCCCATATCTAAAAAAGGGTAAAATGATAAATCCACTTAAAGACTACAATATCTAACACATCCTTGATAAAATTACTTTGTAAATATTTGTCACATCAAGATATTCCATTGTAAACAATAAGACACTTTTTTTTTTAAAAAGAACAATGCAATTATTATGGAAGGCCCAGTCTACAACAAAACAATGGAAAGTAATTGAGTGAACTTTTTTTTTAAATGTATTCAACCATGAAAAATGTAATCAAACACATTAAAACAAAAAGCATACAATAATTCTAATTTATAAGACAACATAAAACAAGACAAGATTCAAATAATGTACCTAAAAAACAATAATTAAAAAAAAAAATTCTGTATTTTGATTTCGTTCAATGATTTTTTTTACACAAAGATTTCTTAAAAAAAAGACTTTTAATTTTTACAATAAAACAAATCACTTATACCATCAACCTGAAGAATAACTGAGGAATCAGGACTTCACTGTTGGGTCAGTAAAAAAAAACTGTTTTGGTAAAACTGTTATAGTTTGTTTGCATCAGGTTCACAGAAAATACATGGTACAATGTATCTGAAATCAGTAACTATGAAAAAGAGGTTTTCACTCTTAATGTTTAGTTCAGTGCCCTAAATGCATATTTCTGAAATAATCTTTACTGATATCCCTTTAACCTAAAGTTTTCAATTCCACTACATTAATTGTTATAAAAGTATGTACTTTTAGCAAAACAAGACATGCATAATTCCATTATGTAAGCCTTTCAAAACTTAATATGGATTATTAAATTCAAAGCGATTGAATCAGAACTGAGTGATGAAAAATTTGTTTGCCTGTTTTCATTGACCTTCAATTTTGTAATTATATGTAAATTAATAGAAATACATTTGTGATTCTAAAAAAAAAATTGTAGGAAATTGTTATATACTATAAAGGCCTGCATGTTCACTTTTTTCTATGAGAATCTGAAACTGGCAAAAAAGGTTTGTGTTAAATAATTTCTCTTGATTCTTTTGTTATTATGTTGAAGAGTTTCACTACTGTACTGCATTTTTGGGTAAACACTGAAAAGAGCCTCCTTTCCTCAAGAATGTAAAATTTTAACTTAAGAAGCAAAAGGCTTATGAATTAAAGGTAATGTGAGATATACTTCAATAACAGCAACACTACAACTCGAAAATAAACCATTTAAAGTACAACATACTGTCTTAAGCAATGACAAGTCTCTGTACAAATATCAAGTTCTGTGTCATTCCAAGTATAGACAAGTTGTGAATACATTTAAAAGAACTGCCATTAACACCAAATCCCCTAAATAACAAAAAATAAAATGCTTCGCTGGGGCGCAGCTTGATACGACCGCAGAGGTCGAACACTGAACAGTTGGGGCAAGTATGGACACAACATTCAAGCTTGATACAGCTCTGAATTTGGATTGTTATTAAATATTTGACACAGCATAGGTTTCTGACACAGAAAGAATGTAGTCTAAGAACTTGAATTTTTTTAATTTACCTATTATGGTCCAATGTCCAAAATCAAAATACATGGCTAGATTCAGCATATCAAAGAACCGCATATATTCAATTTTTGTTAAAATCAAACAAAGTTTAATTTTGGACCCCAACTTGGACAAACTTGAAAACTGGGCCCATAATCAAAAATCTAAACACATGTTTAGATTCAGCATATCAAAGAACCCCAAGATTTCAATTTTTTCTAAAATCAAACTAAGTTTAATTTTGGACCCTTTGGACCTTAATGTAGACCAATTTAAAAAACGGGACTTAAAATTAAAAATCTAAATACACGGTTAGATTTGGAATATCAAAGAACCCCAATAATTCAATTTTTGATGAAATCAAACAAAGTTTAATTTTGGACCCTTTTGACCTCAATATGAACCAATTTGATAGCGGGCCCACAAATAAAAAATCTAAATTCATGGTTAGATTCAGCATATCAAAGAACCCCATATATTCAATTTTTGTTGAAATCAAAAAAAGTTTAATTTTGGACCCCAACTTGGACAAACTTGAAAACTGGGCCCATAATCAAAAATCTAAACACATGTTTAGATTCAGCATATCAAAGAACCCCAAGAATTCAATTTTTGTTAAAATCAAACTAAGTTTAATTTTGGACCCTTTGGACCTCAATGAAGACCAATTTAAAAAACGGGACCCAAATTAAAAATCTAAAAACACGGTTAGATTTGGCATATCAAAGAACCCCAATAATTCAATTTTTGATGAAATCAAACAAAGTTTAATTTTGTTCCCTTTTGACCTCAATATGAACCAATTTGATAGCGGGGCCCACAAATAAAAAATCTAAATACATGGTTAGATTCAGCATATCAAAGAACCTCATATATTCAATTTTTGTTGAAATCAAACAAAGTTTAATTTTGGACCCCAATTTGGACCAACTTGAAAACTGGGCCCATAATCAAAAATCTAAATACATGTTTAGATTCAGCATATCAAAGAACCTCATATATTCAATTTTTGTTGAAATCAAACTAAGTTTAATTTTGGACCCTTTGGACCTTAATGTAGACCAATTTAAAAAACGGGACTTAAAATTAAAAATCTAAATACACGGTTAGATTTGGAATATCAAAGAACCCCAATAATTCAATTTTTGATGAAATCAAACAAAGTTTAATTTTGGACCCTTTTGACCTCAATATGAACCAATTTGATAGCGGGCCCACAAATAAAAAATCTAAATTCATGATTAGATTCAGCATATCAAAGAACCCCATATATTCAATTTTTGTTGAAATCAAAAAAAGTTTAATTTTGGACCCCAACTTGGACAAACTTGAAAACTGGGCCCATAATCAAAAATCTAAACACATGTTTAGATTCAGCATATCAAAGAACCCCAAGAATTCAATTTTTGTTAAAATCAAACTAAGTTTAGTTTTGGACCCTTTGGACCTCAATGAAGACCAATTTAAAAAACGGGACCCAAATTAAAAATCTAAAAACACGGTTAGATTTGGCATATCAAAGAACCCCAATAATTCAATTTTTGATGAAATCAAACAAAGTTTAATTTTGTTCCCTTTTGACCTCAATATGAACCAATTTGATAGCGGGGCCCACAAATAAAAAATCTAAATACATGGTTAGATTCAGCATATCAAAGAACCTCATATATTCAATTTTTGTTGAAATCAAACAAAGTTAATTTTGGACCCCAATTTGGACCAACTTGAAAACTGGGCCCATAATCAAAAATCTAAATACATGTTTAAATTCAGCATATCAAAGAACCTCATATATTCAATTTTTGTTGAAATCAAACAAAGTTTAAATACTGGACCCTACCCATAATCAAAAATCTAAACACATGTTTAGATTCAGCATATCAAAGAACCCCAAGAATTCAATTTTTGTTAAAATCAAACTAAGTTTAATTTTGGACCCTTTGGATCTTAATGTAGACCAATTTAAAAAACAGGACCCAAAATTAAAAATCTAAATACACTGTTAGATTTGGAATATCAAAGAACCCCAATAATTCAATTTTAGATGAAATCAAACAAAGTTTAATTTTGGACCCTTTTGACCTTAATATGAACCAATTTGATAATGGGGTCCACAAATAAAAAATCTAAATACATGGTTAGATTCAGCATATCAAAGAACCCCATATATTCAATTTTTGTTGAAATCAAACAAAGTTTAATTTTGGACCCCAATTTGGACCAACTTGAAAACTGGGCCAAAAATCAAAAATCTAAATACATGTTTAGATTCAGCATATCAAAGAACCTCATATATTCAATTTTTGCTAAAATCAAACAAAGTTTAATTTTGGACCCTTTGGACCTTAATGTAGACCAATTTGAAAACTGGACCCAAAATTAAAAATCTAAATACACTGTTAGATTCGTCATAACAAATAAATAAATGTGATCAAAGATTTTACAAATCTAATGTGCCATACTGTGCAATTAAAGATTACTTCTTGAAATTTTTCAATATTTGAAATTTGAAAAAAAAATAATATTTGAAGAATAATTCTTTTTAATTTCTGAAATCTTAAATGAGAAAAAATTGACCCCCCACAATTTCTTTTTATCCCCCCCCCCCTTTTTTTCCCCAAAAAATTCTTTCCCTCAAGATATGGTCATAATCTCAATTCAAATTTCCAATGGAGTTGGCAACCATAATTACCCATTTAAATTTACCATAGTGCTAACTTAATCTATTTTATAATAGAATTAAAAATATAGTGTCAAATCTTTCATATGGATTTTTTTGTAAAAAAAAAGATGCAACATTTGCAGATATTTTTACTGGTCTTCCTTTATAAATATGCATTTCTTTAAACATAATTTAAAAGCAGTGTAAGGGAAGTAACCAAAACGTTGTATTTGGATTACCTCCCTTACACTGTTTTAAATTATCTTTATTGTTCATTAACCATTACTTTATACATAATTTAAAAGCAGTGTAAGGGAGATAATTTCAATGATGTATTTGATTTATCTCCCTTACACTGCTTTAAATTATGTTTTGTATTAAAGTATTTGTCCATTAACCAGGACAACCTTGTTTTTCCCCCTTTTTTGCCTCTCATTCCTAAACGGTTTGAGCCATAACCCCCCAAAGCAAATCCTAACCATCCCTTTGTGGTATGGAAACTTGTAGTATAATTTCAGAGAGATCCATACACCGTTCCACAGTTATTGTCTTGAAACTAGAAAATGCTTATTTTTTGCCCCTTTTTGGCCCCTAATTCCTTAACTGTTGGTACCATAACCCCCAAAATCAATCCCAACCTTCCTTTTGTGGTATTTAACCTTATGGTCAAATTTCAAAAAGATCCATT